TCCTTCCATGTCCAATGCATACTGTAAAACAATATTGTCGACATCGCGATATTTACAATGCTAGTACGATTTCGTGTCAACATCGTTAAAATTGTAAGAACTCGTATATACTGTTTGCATCATTGACATCGTTATCATTGCGATAAAGTAACGATATCGTTACAAAACAAAACAAAATTATACAGATAAATAGCAAATAAAATTGAAAATGGAAATGGGTAATGTATCAAACAGACAGCAACCCGACCAAAGAGCAGAAAACAGCCCAAGGCCACCAATGGGTCTTCAACACAGCAAGAAAATCCCGCACCAAGAGGCGGGCTTCGGTTGATCCCTGAACAAACATGTGTACTAGTTCAGTAAAACGGACGTCACATTAAACTTCGAAACATATAAATAAACTAAAAGTAAAAAAGACATACAAGAACAACAAAGGCCAGAGGCTCCTGACTGGGGACAGGCGCAAAAATGCGGCGGGGTTAATGTTTTGTGAGATCTCAGCCCTCCCCTATCCATTTAGTCAATGTAGAAAAAACAAACACACAGCAATACGCACAGTCAAACTCAGTGTAAAAGAAGTTCGAGTCCGATGCCAGAATAAGTAACAGAAGAAACTAAGCAAAATGACAATGATACATAAATTAACAAAGGACTACTAGCAGTTACTGACATGCACGCTCCAGACCTCAATTAAACTGATTGAAAGAAGATGGCTTCATATGAAAATCAAGCACAATCCCTCCCGTTAGAAGTTTAGTATCATATCATCATAAATAAAGGCAACAGTAGTATACCGCGGTTCAAAAGTCATAAATCGATTAAGAGAAAACAAATCCGGGTTACACACTAAATCCGAGGGCAACACATCAACTATGAGAGGAAAACAACGGAACAACAGAAACACTGAACTGCAACAACAACAAGAAAACGCCTACATAAATACAAACGGACTATTTGATAACTACTGCCATATTCCTGACTTGGTACAGGACATTTTAAGAAAAAAATGATGGGTTGAACCTGGTTTTATTGCTGACCAAACTTCCCGCTAATATGGCAATGTAAAGAAATGTCGCTAAAATGACAACACTACGTGACAGGAATACAGTACAAACAAACGCAAGAAAACTCAGCACAAAGAAATACATAAATATATAATATAATAGTAAATTACAACATGTAAACCGCAGAATAACAGCAAACACCTTCAATTAACGACAGCACAGGACACCACAAACAGTGACGTATTTTTGTGACGTATATATAATCTTGAAATTCAAACAATTATATGGAACGAGATCCAAATATTTACAATTGTTTTCATAATACTATAGAGTCCAAATAATTATCATGATTATGGCGGTCTTGAAAGGCTATTCTAAATTAATGCTGTGACGACGTCATGATTATTTAGATTAACACAATACTTTATCCGTGGAAAATGGAAATTCACTCGACTATATTGACAAATAAGACATATGTGAAATGTACCAAAAATACAGAATTCAAACCACAAACGATGAGACATAACACAATATACAAACTAACTTACAAAAGAAACATCATAACTAAATACATGAATGTTGGATGTATAAATACCGAGACACGTCGTATACCAATGCGAATTCACAACAGTCATATTTGGGAATAGGTCACGTTCGGTACTTAGCAGAAAGACGACGTAGATGGTAAACCACGATCTAAGAAATGGTAAAAATGTCGTTAGTTAGTTTAGACACAGACACAGACACAGACACATCGTATAGATCGGCAAATTTGTGATGGTGTCCATACAATTTACGGAGTGTCATTTTTAATCTTTCCTCCTCATAACTCTACTGGAGCAGTTTCTGCGTAAGGAGCACACTCATGTGTTTGAAGTCCGTATAGTGTGAACATGCACGAGCATAACGTATCAATTGAGATATGTAAACACCATACGACGGAGCAGAGGGTATGTTATTACTGAGAAATGGGAAATTGATAATTTGGAAGTTGAAATCATCCCGTTTCTCATAGATGTTAGTGTGAAGTCATCCATAAGTCAATATTAAGAAAAAGATCAAGGTATGAAGCAGTCTTTCTACTATCAGTAGTATCCTTAATTTCAAGTTTACTGGGATATACGAGATTCAAGTACTGACTGAAATATGGGTTATTCAGTGATAGGAAATCATCAATATATCTGAAAGTAAAATTAAAGAATTTTACCAGGTACTTTTTTTTTGTCTTGTAGAAGGTTATGAATGAGTTCTGCTTCATGCAAGTACAAAAACAAATCGGCCAGAAGGGTGCACATTTAGTACCCATTGGAATACCGACTGTCTGTTGAAATATCAATCCTCCAAACTCAACAAATACATTGTCGATAAAAAAAAGTCCAGCATTTTGATGATATAATCTTCAATGTACTTTCTGATAGAATCAGTGTGGCTCTTCACAAAATAAGAATTATTTTAACCCCCAAAAAAAGAAATTTATATCTGCGATTCCCATTTTTATAGAAAAAACTCTGTTTAATGAGATCTTGATGGTCGATCTTTCAATTGAGCATGGGGAATAGTAGTGTAAAGCGTAGAAAAATCAAGGGTTTTAATGTTGCTGCAAAATTGCAGAGATTGTGATCTAAGATTTAGCAGTAGATCTTTAGAATTTTTGACAATCCACATATGATTGACACCACTGGTTTTATATATCTCATCATAATATTTTTAAAGACCATCTTTTACTGTAGAAAGAATAGTAGTCAGCACATTAAAAAGATGTTTAATCAAACATCTTGATGATCCAGCTATGTATCGTTCTTTATACGGTGTTTTGTGAAGTTTTGGTATCTAGTATAATGACGGTAGATTTTCTTCGTTTTCTTTGATGTTAATACCAAAAAAGAAGGACAGATTTGTGATTTTGTAAAATGTCATCCTTTATAAATGGTATTAGAGAATATGTAGTATTATCAGTTGTGCTGTGTATTCCAAGCTTTTTTGTGAGACATTGCAAATACTGGTTTTTACATACGAAGACAATATTATTGGAGACTTTATCTGCTGGAACAACGACATATTTGTCATGTAAAGAGGATAAAGCATTCACAACCTGTGGGTTCGTGAATGGGTAAAAAACCACTGTGCTCATAGTACATCGTAGTTTTTGAATGCGCTTCGGAATGCATTATCGAAAAACTTTGATCCATGAACACAGAGTCCCCAGTTCTGGTTCGTCTGGTTGCGCTTTACCCATTTTCTAGCATAGTCTAGCATGCTTTGTGAAATAAAGTAATATCAAAACTTACAGATCATTTCCTTTATCAATGCTGCTAAAACAAGGTTGAACATAACATTATTCAAATGCACACTGAATATGTATACCAAATATATAACCACATTTATTTCCTTCTTTATTTGTTTGTTTGTCGCTTGTTAGTTAAGTGCCACTCTTTGTAAGTATAAGGCAATTTAGAGGAATTTCAAAACATGGCCGCAATAAAAACCAGCCGACCTTATCATCCTATTTTGAAGTTACCCTCATTCAAAACAAGAAATGATAGGTGTTTCGTTTATGTGTGTTGTGGTCATTCGAGAAATATCTGGAAGATAAATTTTGGTTAGAATCATTGCAAACTGCAGAGTTAGCTCCCCTTAATTATTAATTTCTAGTGCATTTCAATCTGAAATACCAGAACAGAAAAAGGAAAAGAATGTTATATCCGTGCATCATTATACATTTTGAAGTTAAACTATTATAACAATCTTTGAAAGTCCCTAATCAATGCAGTTGAACGCCAGCATCAATGAAACTTACAACTATTTCAAATCATAATAAAGATATTTTGTCGGTTTCTGAATTGAGAAAGCAGGCCAATTAGTTGTAAAAATGAGGTTCATCTGGGTAAATTATCTGTATATTGTTAATTATTATAAACATGACTGATTTAAATTTGATTCCTATGTTGTTTGTACCATGTGCATAGTTGTAATTAATGTACTGTATATTTTATATGTAATATGTGTTTTGCATAATATGTCACGGTTTAATTTAGCCATAAAGTTCTATATTTTTTAATCTATCATTATTTTTAAATCCAATTGTCACGCCTCATCGATTGTATGTGTATGCACAAAACAACATTATAATTCCACTGCTGCAAATCCTTTGTACTGCAACATCAACTTCCACTGCTGCTACTACCTCTTCAATTGCAATGCTGCTGCTTACTTTTGTACTGTTACATCTACTTCCACTGTTGCTTCTACCTCTACTATTGCATTGCTGCTGCTACGTCTTATTCTGTAAAATCTACTTCTACTGGTGCTACTTTCTCTTCTACTGCAACGATGTTACTTCTATTTCTTCTGCTGCCACTTCTACCTCTATTGTCACCACTTCTACTTCCGCTACTGCTACTCTCACTTGTACTGTCGCATCTACGTCAACTGTTGCTACTTCCTCTACTACTGCCACATCTACTTCCACTACTGCTACTATCCCCACTGTTGCCAATTGTACTTCTACTGCTGCTACTTCTACTTCGACATGTTCGACTGTTTCTACTACCTCTTCTGCTGCCACTTATATTTCCACTGCTGCTACTACCTCTACTGCTACAACTTCTATTTCCACTGCTGCTACTATCTCTACTGCTGCATCTTCTATTTTCACTGCTGCTACTACATTTACTGCTTCAACTGCTTCTCCTACCTCTACTACTTCCGTTGCTGCTACTACCTCTTCTGCATGTTCTGATTTCTCTGTTGCTACTGGCTCTACTGTTGCTACTTCTACCTCCACTGCTGCTACTGCCTCTTCTCCTGCAACATCTACTTCTACTATTGCTACGACCTTTACTACTGCCAATTCTACTTCCACTCCTGCTATTACCTTTACTACTGCCAATTCTTCTTCTTCTGTTGTAACTACCTCTTCTTCTGTCATAGCTGCTTCTACATCTTCTACAGTCACGTTTACTCCTCCTGCTGCTACTACCGCTACTACTGCCGCTTCTACTTCCATTTGACCACTTCCTCTACAGCCGCCACATCTATTTCCACTGCTGCTACTGCACCTACTACTGCCAGTTCCTCTTCCACTGCTGCTACAACATCTACTACTGTCATTCCTACTTCCACTGCTGCAACTACCTCTACTACTGCAACATCTACTTTAACTGCTGCTACAACATCTACAACTGCAACATCTACTTCCACTGTTGCTGCTGCCGCTAGTTCTTCCACTGCTTCTAATTCCTCTAATACTGACAAATCTACTACCACTGCTTCTACTAACTCTATTGCTACCACATCCTTTTCGACTGCTGCTCATACATTTTCTGCTACCAGTTCTTCTTCGTTTGCTGCTACTAATATAACTTAACTACTACACTGCTACTAATACTATTATACAAAGATTTTATTGAAATCATACTTTTTTTATTGACCTTAAGTTTATAATATTTTATAAAAATTTAGAATATCCTATAAATTTCTATTTTACTTTTGCATTTTAATCTGGTGATATCAATAAACCGTAAACCGACACCTTCAAGTGGAACAAATAAGGATGTTGATATCTTTTCATGGTTTGGTTTTAATATCAAAATGAAATTGGAAATAGAAAGATAAAAAAGCTATCTGATATTTCTTAGATGTTCATGTCATTTCATTTATTGTTGACATCAATTCCTATTAATTCTAAAACTACTGTTTTGCATTTATAATTCATGTATTAATAAGATTTTTTTTCCATTTCAATAAACATCTTTACCTTTCGGTAATAAATAATTAAGTCCTATGAGTTTACATAAAATGCTGGAAAAAGATGTGATGGAATATTTCACTCCATTAACCTCTTTTTGTTCACTAATTGTAATTTTGAACATGCCGATGTATTCTGCAGCTTGGAAAATGAAACAACACATATTTTCCGTTAATTTGTCATGAAACAAGTCACTAAACGGAACTATGAAAGCAGAAACAATTGTAAGGTCCGTGTAATTGTTTTTGAGATATAAGCCATTACAATTTTGGCGTGAAATGATTCTTTCTAGGTTTTTCACACACTTAACATTGGCTCCCTTTTTCTTTCAAAAACTAGGGAAAAATAACAAGATTATGTATTTACTTGCATTGTAATAAAAATAATATTTAGAAAAGTCGTAAAATATTCAATTCGTGACGAAACAACATAGATAATTGACTTATACGCAACACGCGTTCGTGAATTAGTGTGTTGTTCCGTCACTCGTTGAATATTGTTCTATGTTTCAATTCTTTGATAAGTTATTCTACGATAATGCAATTCGTTAGTAAAAGAGATTTAATTCGACGTCATTATATAGTTTTTAAGTCAAAAAAAATAAAAGTTGATTAGTTAAATTGCTCTATGAGATCGCGTTTCCGTTTATCTGAAGATTCACTTAACAGTGTTACATTTTAGCAATTGTATTTAAAAATCATAAAAGATACCAGGCTTATACTTTATTAGGCTTTATTATGCCATACACTCTTTACACAAGACCGAGCATAAGACATATAAGTGGCGCTCTAATCAAAACAGTTTTATAAAACAAGGAATAAATCTTTACTCCAGATATCTCAATTTGTGACCGCAAAATTAGCTTACGACGTCGAGTAAAAAAGTATGAAATACACTTTATATTTTCCTGCTTTACAACAATAAAGAAAATGTAAGAATATCTCGAATATCTATGCATCAGCCTTGATACAATATATTTAGCATAAAGTATGTTTGTAAAAATCAAATAGAACAATGTACAAGCCAGTAAGAGTATATCAACTGAAAAGTATGAATTCTTACATGCAATGTATATTTTCACTTGGGACTTAATTGATTTTAAATTGATTATTTTTTTCTTTTATAAAACTATATTTTATTTAGTTGAAAAACAACGAACAACGACAAAGGACATGACATCTATATTTCTCTTTAGATGATTTAAAAATCTAATATCTTTATTCTTGTTAGCTCCATGCTTTGACATGATTGGGGGTTTAATTGTCTTGCTTAACACTATCACGTTCGTTATGACAAAACTTCATATCGTCAAATTATTGGAATTCATGTGGGTACAAACTGCTGACCTCTAATTGTAAATCTTTTCCTTTATTTGTTTGAATCTTCTTTCGTGACAAAACTACAGAAAGCTAACTAATTAAAAAATAAAACAAACAAAAATACCGAACTCCAAGGAAAATTCAAAACGGAAAGTCCCTTAATCATGTTAATGTATTTAAATTACATTTGTAACAATACTAACAGATGCCATGATTATATGTTTACTGATGAGAATCATTGATTTACTAAACATGCAAAATACATTTATGGAGAAGAACTTCAGCTGAAAAAAACTATTTTTCAATAATGTCTATTTTTTTGACATCATTGTATTGGCATATACTCGATACAAAATATACGAAAAAACGACGATTTCAACTTTTCCATCACTAACTTTCCTTTTTTTGGACGGACAGCGAATTTCTTCTTGCCGCAACTTATGACATGTACATTTAACATTTAAGTTCAAATGAAGCTGGACTTAATGCACTTCACCTTAAATCCACATAGTTTCTTTCACAGGGTAACATATTCAACAGACCTTTACAATAAATGCTTAAAATTTTACAGTCGGTATTTCATCTTCTCTGTAAAAATAACGTTTTCTAGCAAAATATCAATATAAGACGGCATTCCCTATCTTTTATTGTCTAATCGTTGATAGAAAACATGATAAAAATATGTACGTTTAAACACGGAAAATGTCTTGCATCTTTCAACAGCAAGGGCTACAGGGAGGATATACATGAACTCAATAATTCAGTTAAAGTGGCTCTTTCTTCTGATGGTCTTACAATGTTACCTCTCACAAATACTGTCAATTTTAATAAAATTGTATGATGAGGTTTCATGAAACCTTTGATGCATGTTGTTTCAATTTTTCTTGTTTTTATGAGCGACCATATTCAACCAAATGATGTGGCTGCCTTATCGAGCTCCTGTAATAGCGATCCCATTTTGACCCTACTTTATGTGCCGATTTTTTACTTCATCTGTGTTTAGCACTGTGCAGATTTTTCAGTTGTTTGTTTTAGTTTAACAACAAATGGTCTAGAAAGACTAAACTCATGCCGATACCTTTTATAGCTTACTATACGGTATAGGGTTTTCTCATTGTTAAAGACCGTTGTCCAAATCCTCGTCTTTTTGGTCTTTGGTTAATAAATGTTTAATTGAAAATCCTGCAACATCTCGTATTTTATATCAAATGGAAAGTTTGTTAGACTGGGTTCCTGCTATGTTAAAGTACCTTGATATATAAAATATGTTTAATACAAACATATATAAACAAGAGTACCAGTCTAACATTTGGTTTGCAAGTACAAGTGGCTAAATTCCACCTCATTGTGTGTCGGTATATCTGTCAGGTTATCTGGACCAGGTGTTGTTTGTTGTTAATTGTCTTTATTTTTTCGGATGTTTTTTTTCTGGAAAGTCGAGTGTTAGTGGTTAATGTTGTCTGATGTACTGTCAAATACTTTTGATGATTCCTTTTAGCTGTCTTCGTATTATACAATGTACAAAATTAGAAACAATTAAAACAGCCCTCAAAAAGGAAGGTGCACATCATCTATATGTGTGCAAAATTGCTGTAAAGGTTAAACTATAAAACAAAATTAATGCTGATTTTAGAAAATTTTGCAGAAAAAAGTGTGTTCAAATGAGAAAGGAATCCTTGAACATTGCAACAACAGTAAGTGTAATACATTTGGTATGTTTCAAACACTCTAGTTTGCCATGTTTCATGAAAACATATTGGTACAAAATTTTAAATAGTCGGGTTACAAAATCGCTTCTTAGAGTTTTATAAATATGGCACTGTAAACCAAAATTTGACAGTTAATTAAAACAGTCTGACAAAAAATATTTTATTAAAAACGAATAAAAAAACAACATCAACCATACGTAATGTGCAGTTTCCTACATTAACAATGCTTAACTGTGTATTAAAGTGTTTATAAACATTTTTTTTATATATTCGTTGGAAACAACTTCAAGTCAAATAGTATGTCTATACATTACAAAACATCTATGTTCAGCCATTAAGAATTCGAAACTGATCATTAAGGAATGATCAGTACAAAGATATAATGAGGGGTCATTCAATATTTTATCATATATGAGGTTGTGGATGAGGGTTTACAGAATAGAGAATGATGGACAAAAAATATAAAGAATAGAGAAAAATGGATAAAAAAATAAAGAACAGTGAATAATGAGGTGCTAAAATATACAAAATAGAGAATAATGTGTAAAAAGTATACAGAATAGAGAAAAATGGCATAAAAATGAAGGAATACAGACATAAAGGACCACCCCATCCACATTCTCATATATTTGGTGATGATTTTCAATATAATCTTCTTAAAAAATAAAAGAGGCAACATATTTCGAAATAAAGAAGGTTTTCGCTAAATATTCATCATATGACATAATTTGCGTTATCCACACGCCACCATTTGACTATGTATTCTTTAAACCAGTTTGATACGAGGGGCACAGTTAACATTTGGTCACATGGCAATACTCCCACTCGCCATCGCCTGTTCCTTTATAACAGTAAGGCCTCCCTACACCTTTAGGATCTCTGCAGTAATTAGTCACGTGATCAGCTGGATCTGACGGAAGGTCTTGTGTTTTGATAGTATCCCAACGCTTACAGGCGGTCCCGAGAGCACTGCAGCTGACTTTACCTCTATAGGTAGAACTAATGTTGTAGCAATCATCTACTATAAAAGACAATCATTTAATGCATAATATGTTTTTGTTCCTGTACATAGTTCTTTTGTTGTATACATCAGTACCTGTAATTTCTTAGTACTTAAATTAAAATTAATAAGTACATGTATGAATGCATGTTTGCGCAATAACTGCTAACGAAAATATAAGTAACAATATATACGTAGATGAATTATATGCAATGACATAAGCGTTACCGTCATCAACTGTAAAAGTTATATGTATCATGTAATTGAATTATATGCAATGACATGTGCGTTATCTTCATCACCTGTTAAAGTTATATGTAGCATATAATTGAATTATATGCAATGACATGTGCATTACCTTCATAAACTAAAAAAGTTATATGTATCAATCATGTTATTGAAATATATGCAATGACATGTGCGTTACCTTCATCAACTGTTGAAGTAATATGTATAATGTTATTGAATTATATGCACTGTCATGTGCGTTACCTTCATCAACTGT